TGATAAGAATTTCTTTCATATCATTAGTTATTTGAGATTAAATTTCATTCATATACTATTCCAATTCATAGTCTCAAGAAGTGTATATATGTTAGCATTTGTTTTACTTTCTTATAGTGAAAGTGTTCCTGTTTATGACTAATGGGCTTGCGTAGTTTATAAATAACTACACATTAATATATGAAAAATATCCTAGGAAAAACAGATAGGAATATTAAAAATTAAATGTAGAAAGGTGGCTAGGTTACAAAAGTTTGTAGGAAAACATTTTCTGGCCCCTTTAAAATGTGAGTTTGCACAAATAATTACTTTGGAACTACTTTTGGTAACATACTATTTGATAATATACTACATAATTTTATTGAAGCTTTACTAGCACGATATAGCGAGTTGGAAGATGCAAATTAATACGCATTGATGGATCCTCTTCCATTTATGAAATATCAGCTTATATTAATTTTAAATAATAGCGCAGGAAACTGTCTAAATTTGCATAAATAATTTTTTAGATAAATGGATTTCCTTACTTTAGTTCTTTGGATTTTAGTGGCGGGAGTAGAAGTTTTAATATGAATATAATTAGTCTAGAGGAGGGGATTCAGTAGTAGATGAATGCAGGTTGATAAAATTAGCCGATATTATGTCTAGACTAATGTCGTCACGATCAGACACGGCATTGATTTGAAGTCGTTTCCGGGAAAAGTCCTTTTGTCTGGTGCAGAACAAATAGACTTAGACACAACTTATGTGTCAATATAAAACTGATTTTAGTTTTAACTAAGTTCCCACGCAGATATCCTGTCCTTGGAGATTTAACTAATTGCTAAAGCTGAAAAAGTGCAATTGACTGACATCATCGTCCCGAGGAAGACGTTCTTGCATAGCAATCGATTATGCTTTATACTAAGTAAATTTCTAAATGTAATGATCGGTTAGTAATTGATGTCCGACAGTTGATTCATCATTTGGATAGAGCGAAGAGGCAGCCTGATACATTGTTAGGTTCAAATAACCTCGGAGGAAATAAATTTTTAAAAAGTATACATGATTCTAGTTGGCTAATGATTATTCTGTCGACTGGTGGGAAAGCCGCTTATATCCCAAGAGTCTGTAATAATTAATTAGATTGGGATGTCAGCTTTGAGTCAATTAAGGTAAATAAAAAGTGGAAACTTGGTTTGACATAGTGAAATGCAGCTGAGCCTGTGTGGTAAGAAAGAGATTGTTTGGGTCACTAAAGACTATTAAGTAAAGTCAATAGCTGAAGGATACCGCACAGTATTGTCTGATGACATAGTTTTTGTATGTTTAATGAGAGAAGAGCTAATAAAAGATATTATATGGATCAAAATTTAAATCAAATATAAGCACAGGAAAGCTAAGAAAATGTCCTTGTATTATTTTATTATTAGATCAAAAAATGGCTCCAATCTTTTTTATAACTAGATATTAATTCCTAGGTATGAGTGTTATTACTTAATATTACTACTATTCTAACTTGCTGTTACTATATTTCTTAAATAAAAATTTTAATTAAGACTAGGAAATCAACTTAAAAAAAATTGTAATCAGTTTTGTAAGATAGGTCACGGCAAGCACATTTCAAAAGCTAAAAATGCCAAAATGATTTTGTGCGTCATACTTTATAACTTGGTATGAATAATAGAAGTAACATGAGTGACACGATTAGAAGTAAACTTTATTGATAATAGAAGTTCATGTATTCTATTACAAATCTGATTTGGTAAAATTAAAAAAATATACTTCTTATCATCAGTAGTATAATAGAAATTCAAGTTTGGTTAAAGTTTTCGGAGTGAACTCTTAAAAGATAGAAGATATTACCTGAGAAATCTTAACAGTATGCTTATAATTTTGGCAATTTATTTTAGTGTATTAATTTTTATTTGAGTTTATAATTAAAGAATTTCTTTAAGTTATTTAAATATATAAACTTTCCTTGAGTCAATTTTAGCCAAATACTTTGATCTAATCATTCAGATAAGACTATCATTTATAATAAGATTTTAATGTAATGTTTATCCCTCTGAATGGTGTAAATCTTTATTTTACTTCTAAAAACAAAATTCGTGGAGGAATATAATATAAAATGGAGTTCTCAACGAATAAGGTTATATAAACAAATAATCACAGTTTACTATTTTGCCATATAAAGATTGAGGTTTGATTATTAGCAATTAAATAAGGTCGATCCTATATGGAGGAGACAGTCTTATTCTTTTTTTTGTCAGCTGTCATTTAGCTATAATAGTACATCATGGATATAGCTATTTCTAATGAAATCTACTTCGACTTTAGTATAATGGTGTTAAGCTTTCATCTATGATGATAAAAATTATAACATAAAGGTATTAGCCTTACGACGAATCCAAGCTGATAGCCCAATATGACGCATCGGCATATCTTCATAGCCAGTTTAAACTGGTATAATTTTGTGCTCATTAATGTTCTCGCAAATTTATAATAAAAAGCAATCTTAAAGCATACGCTGCCAGGCCTAATAGGTTGGTTAAAAGGATGCCTGGCTAAAAGCAACATAAGAAAAATAACGAATGTATTTTGAGAAGGAGACTATTTGAAATAAAATAAAAAATCATAGACACTTTCTTAAATTTTGGGTTTGTATTTAGTCTTTTATATATAAAAATAGGTAAAATTGTTAGGAAATTGTGAATAAAACCCGTTTTTATATAAACGAAATACTTTCTTCATTTGTGCTAACATTTGGAGAAAAATTGGCTTATGGTCCATGTCCGGCTGTCTAAAATAATGTGCTTATGCAGTCACTTTTATGTTGGATTTAATTGTCGCCCTAATAGACAGAGGGTGACCAAAGACTAAAGTGCCTGAAGAGACTGTTTGGTTTCAAACAAGTTAACCTACCGCTTATCTTTGTAGCTAAGCTTTTAATTCTGGAGGCCCTCGAAGTCGACGGTTGAGGAAGCAAATAAAATGTCGAGAATATCGTAAAGGTGTTAAGCAAAATAAAACTTGTGCATATTTATAGACTAGTTAGAAGAGCGAGGGTATTGAGTCATCTGAATGCAGAAAGTATTCAACTATTATTTTATTAATCATAGTTAAAATACCACTTTATCTTTCTATACGTTACTTCACACCAGCGCATTACTCTTGATACACACGAAGCACATACACATAATTGGACTTGTATCTAGCGTGAGGCAATCAGATTGATAATTTATGCTAGATAGTCAGCTCTCTGTTCTAATTTTTTCGAGATATCACTGCTGACTTGAACTTTTACAAATATATGAATGTAAATCTACACATGGATAAAACAGCATATGCATAAAGTCACACATAAATGTATTAGGTTATACAATATATATAGCATATTTGGGTAAGGTAATGAAACCTGCTTATAAACCTGTTTATAAGAAAAGGAAAAGTAAGCACTATAGTCGAATGCTGTAGCAAATATAACATTGCTTCATAGAAAATCCCACTACAACTTAGGATAACGGGAAATGCCTAGCCTTCCTTGAAATTCACAACTGACCTTTAACCCATGGTTACTCGAAATAATGCGTTGTAATGATAAACGTATTGAGATTGTGCTTTGCAATGTAATGGTTCGAGTCTCGCTTTACGTGCTGATGAGACCTAGGTTAGGTTGATAATGCAGCTTTCCTGTGTGATAATACTTTTTCTTGAAGACATATTATATGAATTTCTAACGAAACATGAAATATAAAATTATTATTTTGCAAAATTTAATTATTAACTCCCTTATAAACCTAAACAAATATAAGCTAATGGGTTCTCTCGATTCGCCTGCTTATTGGCTATATGAATATATCCCTAACTCATTGATGTCCGCTATATCACAGACAAAATCTTGGCACAATTTTAATGAAATCTTAAGAGATTGGTTAGAGCACAGGAGCAACATGAATGCTGTTCAGAAGCCAAGATACACCTTGACAAGAGGAATCGTCTTCTAGCATAATTAAGCATAGTATCTCTTCATCAAAATTCCACTAAAAATGGATTTGAACCACCAATGTATTGGAAACCGAAACAAACAGCAAAAAAGGTTTGATATATATTTTGGTGAATTTCTATTTCAGTCCTAATATATGAAAGATAGTATTTCATTGTATTTCTGGACAAACTCAGGAGAGTTTAGGCTAAAATATAATTAAATTGCATCATCTTTTGATAATGTGGAGATATTAAATTACATGAATTTTCAAGTAAGTGTTGAACTAATTTTATTTATTTCATAACATACTTGTTGTTTAAATTACTAGACATGCCCATATTTAAGTTAGTCTTTACATATTGACAGACGTTAAAGTAAAGGAAAGCTTAAGGTATAATTAAAATCTTTCTTAAATTAAACCGTTGGTTTCGACGTTAAGTCGGTATTTTTAGAAATTTCTTTTACACACCATCTCAGAATATCTTGTAAAATCTGTTTCCAAAATAATTATCCGGGAAATTAATTGTTGCATTCGCTGAGGAATATTGTTAAATCTTATTCTATTAATTCTTCTCCCGAGGTTTAATATTATGAGCTATTTTTACAAGCAGGCATTTTATCATGTAAAATTGATGGTGAATATGTCACGCAACAAATGCATCATGCGCATCTCACAGTCTCCTATAGAATATCAAATATCAGTTATAAAATTGCTTAAGAATGTCTAATAAGCAATTATTTATAGTAGCGTAGCGTGACATGTGGTTAAGCACCAGATTAAATTAAAAATGTCCGTGAAAGTTCAATGAATAAGCCAGTATTTACATTTTTAGCTTAGCTTTGCTGCCAGATAATAATAGTGTATAATTACTTAATATATTTTAATGACCTTTATAGCATTACTTAAAATGTTAAACTATAAGGAATACTTAAGAATTTTACTATCTTAAATGAAAAAGCTCCAATTCTTATAAAACTTAAATTAAAAAATATTCATTTGTGTAAAGCATACAAGCCTAAATGTATTGAAAAGTTATATCCTCACGCTATATTTATGCAGGACACTAGAACCTGGCATGTAGGTGTTTCCATTCATCATTTGACTTGTAAGCCAAGGCATAACACCTTTCCGATTTTGATACTCTGCTTCGGATGCTACGTTTCCCTCTACCGATTCTAATACGGAGTTATCAGGTATGTAAGAGGTCAGCAGAAAAGCTGAGTTTTGAGGCAAGCTTGCATTTGTACTGGATAGCTGACTTGACCCTATATGTTTAAATCCATCATTCGTCTCGTTTTCCGTTGCTTGGAGGCAATTCCAATCAGCTAACTTATTTTCAGGACTATTCAGCTGCTGCGAATTTGGCTTACTAATCTGTGAGGGAGGGAAGCTTGTGTAATCTGCGAGACCTACTGCTCCGTTGACCGATCCTTGGTCAGGTGGCACAAATGAGAGAGATACCGGCAGCTGGATTGGCAATGGTACAACCAGAGGCAGCTGTAGTGGTAGAGCGACAGGAAGAGATAGGGAAACAGGTAGACAGTCGGGCAACTTAACTGTACACTCTGCTTCTGGAACAATAGAAATTGAGTCTGGCTGATCAAGCTTGCTAGCGTCAGGAGGAGGTTCCTCTCTGGAAGATAGTATCTTGAAATGTTGACACTGGTAAACCCCATGATCTAGAGTACATGAATTCAATAAAACAGGTGAAGAATTTGAGTTCCGTGTTTCAGTTGAAGTTGACACAATTACCTTGAATTCTCCTACATTACTTTTAAAACTCTCATCCTCCCTTACTCTGCTCGAATTGCTCCATGGCTGTTGCAGCTGTTTCATATGCCGTATTTGATGGATATTTTGTCTACTATTATTTGAAGTGGCCAAATTCGTGCATACCTCATTCATATCTCTTCCTATCACCGTCCGGCTGGACTGCACCTCGATTAGCTGAGTCAAATCGACTCCTGTTGGTGAGTACTGACGAGTTGTTGGACCGAGATGTGTATCATTAGAAGTTGTCACAGTATCCAGCAAAGAGATTTCACCCATTAGCCAAGAGGCAGTCGAGCAAAAGGTTTGGGGCCCAGAAGTTTGAACTACTTCCATTGTTTTCAAATCTTGATAAGTTCTTTCACCAACAGTGCTATCTGCGACTGATTTCAGCCGATGCTTATAACATGCATTACAGGTCCGAAATATGCTACTATTCCAGCTGATTAATCTACTTCCTGTAACTGCAGACTGTCGTTTCACGCATACAAAAATTGCAAGAATAAAGCTGGAAACGAAAAGTACGGCACAAATTGGCACTGCTATCATCAGAATGAAGGTTTTTACTCGTTTTGAGCCAAAATTCCAGATGTTATCTTGCTCATTTCCAG